AGCTTGAAGCTCCGTCTCAAAAAAAAAAAAAAAAAAGGGTAAATTGGTCTATACTTTGTCAAAAAGCAGGGTGGGGCTCGGTGCCCATAGTTTAGTGAGTAGGCACCAGCCACATGCACTGAAGCTGGAGGGTTCGAGCCTGGCCTGGGCTTCCTAAACAACAGTGACAACTGTAACCAAAAAATAGCTGGGTGTTGTGGTGGACACCTATATTTGCAGCTACTTGGAAGGCTGAGGCAAGAGAATCAATCGCTTAAGCTCAAGAGTTGGAGGTTGCTGTGAGCTGTGATGCCACAGCACTCTACCAAGGGTGACATAGTGAGACTCTGTCTCAAAAAAAAAAAAAAAAAAAAAAGGCAGGGTGGGACAGTATGGGTAGAAACAGGTGAGATTTGTCTAGTTCGGCCCAGGAAGAGAGATGGTTACAAACCCAGCTTAGCGCCCATAAAGCAGGATCCTTTTTTCCAGTTCTCCTCTGGCCAAGTTCTAGTCTGCTCTCTCCAGTGGTCCCTGGCCCCAGGAAGGGCATGCCTCAGGCAAATGACTGGCACTGGCTGTTCCATGAGGCAAATCTTCCCTACAAATTAGTGCACTGGGATTCAGGGGGAGAAATCAGTCTCTTATGGGCTCCTGGGGAAACTGATGAGTCAAGTTTTGAATAAAGCTTAGGACCAGAGCCAGTCACCCCTAGGGACCAGCCTCTGGCAGTTGCCCAGCCTCTGTTTATCAACACGGCCTGGCATCAGCATTCCCACTTGTCAGAGGAGGGATCAGGCCCCCAGAGGCTGAGTGCCTCCCCAGGGCACACGGTGAGCTAATGATGTTTGACTAATGGTGCCTTCTCACTCCTCATGTGCTACTTCTCTTTCCACTGTACCACACACTGTGCCCAGCTCTCAAATTAAACTCTGTTCTAAATGCTGGCATGGCTGGAACCGAGATCACCTACTGACATCATTAGTCTGAGCCTGATGACTAATCTAATCCACAGCTATCACTTTCATTCTCTAAACTTGTAGCTCTGGGGATGGTGACATTTCTATCTATCTATGAAAATAAACACTAATGAAAACATTATGATGTTTATGATCAGAGTCGAGTTTCAGTATGCCAGGGAAAGGGACCATCTCCCTGAGCAGATGACTCAAAACTATTTCTATACTATTTCTATAGCAGTGCAGTGGTGAGAACATGGTTTCCAGAATTAGGCTGCCTTCCATCCCTTACCATAATGATGGGTATGGAAGTGCATGAGAGTGTAGGAGAGTGTATGACAGCGTATAACAGCCTAAAAGCACATACGCGTTACACCTGTGTGACCTTAGGCAAGTTACTTAACCACTCTGAACCTCAGGTTACTCATCTGTAAAATGAGGATGAGAATAGCACCTGCCTCATAGACTGCTTACAAGGATGGCACTAAGTAGTACCTGGTCCCTGGTTAGCACTGTGGAAAGGCTAATTTTATTTATTTATTTATTTTTTTGAGACAGAGTCTCAAGCTGTTGCCCTGGGTAGAGTGCCACGGCATCACAGCTCACAGCAACCTCCACCTCTTGAGCTCAAGTGATCCTCTTGCCTTAGTTTTTTTTTTGGTAGAGACAGGGGTCTCACTTTTGCTCAGGCTGGTCTCAAACTCATGAGCTCCAGCAATCCACCCGCCTTGGCCTCCCAGAGTGCGAGGATTATAAGCATGAGCCACCACTCCAGGCCTCAGAAAGACTAATTATCTTTAAAAATGATTTTAATGTTTTGAGGCAGAGTCTCACTCTGTTACTTGGGCTGGAGTCTAATAACATGATCATAGCTCACTGCAACCTTGAACTCCTGGGCTCAAGTGATCCTCCTCCCTCGGCCTTACAAGTAGCTGGGACTTACCAGGATGCACCACCATGCCTGGCTAATTTTAAAATTTACTGTAGAGATGGGAGCCTGGTTATGCTGCCCAGGCTGGTCTCAAACTCCTAGCCTCAAGCGATCCTTCTGCTTTGGCCTCCCCATATGCCAGGATTAGAGGATTGAGCCACCACACTCAGCTGGTAGTTATAATTATCACCATTATTATCATTTGGCAGTGGGAGATACGGAGGGATCCTTTTTATCTTTACTTTCCACCCTGCAGATCCTCCCCCTCCCCCAGGATGTCTCACTTGGGTGAATATTAAGGTGAGTTTGCTTTGCCAGGGTACACACAAAGCTTGTCAGAGAGCAAATCCAGACATAGGCTGGAGGGTGAGAATTAAACATTTGCTATGATAACCCATCAGCTAACTCTGTTATGGATAAACAAAGACCTTAATAATACACTAACAACCCTCCTGTGGTGTTCTGGAGCACTGCCAAGCCTCACCTTGGTTACAGAGAGGAAAGAGCGCAATTAAGACTAGAACTCAGGAGTCCCAGCTCCCTCCATGGAGTTCAGCTGAACTTACCTGGTAGCGTCTTCACTCGGCACACATAGGCGGCACTCTCTTTGGACCAGGTTTGAACAAAAATCGTAATGGTCACCAGGAACTCTGTGTCAGGGGTCAGGCTGAAGAACTCAAATTCTCTCCGCTTCCCTTCAAGGTGCTGAATTTGACAGAGAACCCAGAGCGATTCCTCTTACGTGCCAATCTCCGCACGGAGCCCAAGCAAGCTGGCTCAGTCCTCCTCCTGGGTAACTGTGCTTAGTAAAATGGTACCATCAGCTGCTCTGGGAAGAGCCTGGCAGGTCAGCCTGTCCCTCCATTCCCATCCTCCTCCCTTTGCTTTATACCTAAATGCAACCCATCACCATGTTTGGTGGTTCTTCCACTTGGAACACTAGTGCACAGTAAGGAGTCTGTGCACACTAGTTGCCACTACATGGCCTCCACTACCCCTCCTTCTTCCACTTCTCCCTTCATTTTCCTTCCTTCCTTTCCTTTTCTTCTTTTCTTTTCTTTTTTTTGACACAGTCTCACTGTATTTCCCAGGCCAGAGGGCCATGGCATCAGCTTAGCTCACAGCAACCTCAAGTTCCTGGGTTCAAGCAAACCTCCTGCCTCAGCCTCCCAAGTAGTTGGGACCCCACGCTACCTGCCACAATGCTTGGCAAATTTTTTCTATTTTTAGTAGAGACCGGGTCTCTCTCTTGCTCAGGCTGGTTTTGAACTCCTGAGCTCAAGCAATCAACCCACCTCAACCTCCCAGAGAGCTAGGATTATAGGCATGAGCCACTGCGCCCAGCCCCCTTCCTTCTTTTTTCTTTATTAAATATCAGAAACTCTTTGAGTATCTATCCCTTGCTTGTCTTCCTCATTGCTTCTGCCTTAACTAGGCCTTGGTGCTTCAACCTGGACTTGGCAGTCGCCTCCTTACCTGTCACCTGTCTTTGCCTCTATCTGCGAACTCGGCCTGGTGCTGCAGGGATCTTTCTAAAAGATAAGCCAAGAACAATGCTGCCCTATTCAAAATCCTTTGATGGCCTTACCCATATTTACAGGCTAAAGCCCTGGCCCTTGCCTCCCTGTCCACACTTCATCTCTCCCTGCTGTCCACCTGGCTCTCCAGGCTCTGGGAAACATCTGTCTTGCTTAAGTTGTGTCCTTGCCTCTGCCGATCTTGCTGCAGGAACTTTTTAGTTCTCGTGCTTCTGTGTGTCTCCAACCTGGTTGACCCTGAGCTCCTCTGCCTTGGCTGCCCCCTGCCACCATTCTGGTTCTCTTCCTGCCTCCCGGACTGCTCATTCACTAGTTTTAGCCCCTCGCCTGTTGTTCTGAAAGATTCACTCTTGTCCTTTTCTTGTCTTCTTTCTTACACACCCTCTAGTTGGTTAGCAATTTTATTGGAACCCAGGGCTCCTGTGGGAGCCAATGTGTGGATGACTCCCCAGGTTAGCTTAGGAAGAATGATAGAGTTTCAGAAGGGGAATGCTGGCTCCTTGCTGGATCACACTGTGTGGGCATCTCTAACTTGACATATCCAAACACACTGACCTTGTCTCTCTGGGTTCCATCCCATCCTAAAGCTCAAACCCACTCCCACTTCTGATTCTCTAATTCTGTTAATAGCATCCTTCTTTTTCTAACCTCCAACATCCAAACCTTAAAGCCATTTTGACAGATCCCCTCTCATACTCTCTACATCTAATTGCCCTTAAATGGTCCATAAATCTTCCTTTAAAAAGGCCAGGACCTGTGTTCTTAGGCATTTAAAAGCCAAGAATTTTTTTCTTTCTTTTTCTTTTTTTTAGTAGAGATAGGGTCTCATGCTTGCTCAGGCTGGTCTTGAATTCCTGAGTTCAAGCGATCCTCCTGCCTTGGCCTCCCAGAGTGCCAGGATTACAGGCATGAGCCACGTCACTCAGCCCTAAGAATTTTTTTCTTTGGCTCTTTGGATTTTAGCTCTGGCTTCTCTTTTCCAGGCATGTGAGGCCAAGGATGGGGGTAATTTGTTGTTTTGCGGGGAAAAGGTGGAGAATGAAATTGGGTGAAGAAATACATGAATGATTAACTATAAACTTAATTTAACTTATTGTTTTGTGAAAATCCTATGATTAAAATTGTGCACATTAAACATCATGGTATACAGTTCCCGGAGGGTTGCCAAGACCCCAACCTTCCTCCTTCCCCCCATTTTTCACTGCCTCTGTCCTGGTTTGAGCCCTTGTTATTTTCAGCCTATATCTTTGCAACGGTCTGACTTCTCATCCTGATCTGGCTTTCATTTCCACATTTGATTTTTTTCATTCCAATTCTAGTAATTTATAGATTCTAAGAATTACTCTCCTCAAAATAACTATAATGAATTCTGACCAAAATAAAAATCAATCTGGGAGGTCGAGGTGGGTGGATTACCTGAGCTCACTGGTTCAAGACCAGTCTAAGCCAGAGGGAGACCTTGTCTCTAAAAATAGCCGGGTGTGGTGGCAGGTGCCAGTACTCCTAGCTACTTGGGAGGCTGAGGCAAGAGAATCACTTGAGCCCAAGAGTTTGAGGTTGCTGTGCACTATGATGCCATGGCACTCTACCGAGGGCGATAAAGTAGCACTCTGTCTCCAATAAATAGATAAATAAATATAAAAATAAAAATCAACTACCTAAATGCATTGAAGAGTAAATAAAACTGGGTACATATTGGAGAGAGGAAGAAGGGAATGGCAATGGGGGAATTTTCCATTTTTTAATGTCTTTTAGCCTGATAGAAGACCCCTACCTATACCTTGTGGGGTGGGTGGCTAAAACCTAGATAGAAACCCTGTATTCTCACAGGCTTGAATAGCCAGAAAGTAGATTTGGAATAATCACAGCAACTGGAAAATGAGAGAAGGAACCACAGGAGAGATAATAAAGAAGGAAGCCCAAATCCTATGTATAAACTCTGCCCAAATCTCTGACCAGCCTCAAAAGCATGCATGAATGGGGTGGACTCTAAGAAGCCCAGGTAAAGTGAAAAAGGAAAAAAACTAAACTGAAATTTCAGAGTTTACAGTTCAGCCTAATTATCTGTCTGCTAAAACAAAACAAAACAAACAAACAAAAAAAATAACAATCTTTGCAGGAATATAACAGAATCCAGAGTCACTTCAACAAGTCATTCATAACGTCTGGAATACATTTCAAAATTGTTAGACATACAAAAAAAGAAAAAATGTTGGGCAGCGCCTGTGGCTCAGAGGAGTAGGGCGCTGGCCCCATATGCCGTAGGTGGTGGGTTCAAACCCAGCGTCAGCCAAAAACTGCAAAAAAAAAAAAAAAGAAAAAGAGAGAGAGAGAAAATGTGACCTATATTCAGGAGAAAAGACAATCAGTTGTGATGGACCCCAAGATGACCAAAATGTTGGAATTAGCAGATAATGATTTTAAAGCAGCTATATAACTCTGCTCAAGGACATAGTTATAAAGGAAACATGCTCATACTGAATGAATGAATAAAAAAAATCTCAGTAGAATATAAAAATAATAAATACTTCAGAACTGGAAAATAGACTATAATATCTGAAATTTAAAAAAAAACTTCAGGCTCGGCGCCTATAGCTCAACCGGCTAAGGCGCCAGCCACGTACACCTAAGGTGGCGGGTTCGAATCCCCAGCCCGGACACGCCAAACAACAATGATGGCTGCAACCAAAAAATAGCCGGGCGTTGTGGCGGGCGCCTGTGGTCCCAGCTACTTGGGAGGCAGAGGCAAGAGACTCGCTTGAGCCCAGGAGTTGGAGGTTGCTGTGAGCTGTAATGCCACGGCACTCTACCCAGGGGGACAGCTTGAGGCTCTGTCTCAAAAAGAAAAAAAACAAAAAAAACAAAAAAAACTTCAGAACTGGAAAATAGACTATAATATCTGAAATTTTAAAAAATACTGTTGATGAAGACAATTAATGACAATTAATGACACAGTGGGACATGGGGGAAGAGGAGACCAAAATGAGAAGGAGGGAGGGGGTATGGGCAAGGAAAAGTAAAAAAGAAAGAAAGAAAATAGTGACTAATTCTCATATAAATTGTATTTAATTTTGACCAAAGTACATTCCTTAAACTTTAATTTTTAATTCAACATGTTAATATGTTGTTTATCCTATTGCATCCTCATTTATAAGTGAAATATGTTTGTAATTCCCCCTTTATGATAATATATTTTCTCCAACTTTAATATCAGGTGTATCAGATTAAGTCGAATGATTTTAAAGTATTTCTTTTTCTATTGTCTATAAGATTTGGCATGATCTGGGGGAAGGGAGGGAGATTGGTGGGGTCACCTGTTTGGTTTATCTTACAAGGGTACAAGTGAATCTTTCTAAAAGCAGAGTATGAACGTTTTAACTCAATAACTAAGAAAATGACATGAAGGTTATGTTAACCAATTTGATGAGAGTATTTCAAAATGTGTATGAAAACAGCACACTGCACCCCATGATTGCATGAATGTATACAGTTATGCTATAAGAAAGAAAAAAAAAGATTTGGCATGGTCTGTTTTTTTGAAATTATCTTTTACTTTTATTTATAAACATTAGTTGTCTATTTTTCTGAGACTTTGGAAAAAACAAAATAAGATGAAGAAGTTAACTGATCAAAGTATTCTCTAATAGACATACTGCTGTCAATGTGAATGTTACTTTCTTTGCATTATTACTATTATTATTGCTTAATATTTTGTTGCAGCAATCATCTGATTTCTTTTCTGAATGTATTTATCTTCACTTGTTCCTTATGAGGTTTTCGAGTGAGAACAAAACAATTTAATTGTCATTAAATTTAGCCTTTTTAACTCTGTGAAGGCAAAAGTGGAAACCCAATATACGTATGTATAAGTAAGAAAGAAAAAAAAAGATATATACTAACAATCAAAGAAAAAACTGTTGAATGATCTTAACGACATTGGAAATGAGAGAAGAAATAGAACATTAGAAGACAGATTGGTAAGATAGAATTAGATAGTGGGACTAGTTTCACAACTTTGTGAATCTGCAAAAAAAGCCTCCGAATTCTATGCTTTAAAAGAGTGAATTGTATATTGTGTGAATTATATCTCGATTAAAAAAGGTAACGGCTGTCAGAAGCTGTCTGTAAGGAGTGCATTTTAAATATAAAGATACAGATAGGTTGAAAATAAATGAATATAAAAAGATATACTAGGCAAACTATGAGAAGGCTGGAGTGGCTATGTTATTATCAGATAAAGTAGACTTCAGTACAAAGGGTATCACTACAGATAAAATAGGACATTTCATATGATAAAAGGGTCAATTTATCAGGAAGATATAACAGTCATAAACGTGTAGGTGCATGGAGCAAAAGTACACAGAATTAAGAGGAAAACTAGACAAATACACAATTAGAGTTGGAGAGTTTAATATTCTCAGCAATTAAAAGAATAATTGCCCCTCACCCAAATCAGGACAGATATAGGAGATCCGAATAATACTATTAAGCACATTTGCCTGATTGATATTTATAGAGCACTCCGCTTACCTATAAAATGTATATTATTTTTAAGCACATGGGACGCATTCACCAAGATAGGCCATATGTTCATCCATAAAACAAATCTCAATAAATTTTAAAGAACTGAAGTCAAACAGAGTTTGTTCTCTGACCACTAATTGAATTAGAGTAGAAATCAATAACAGTAATATATGTAGTAAAACCCTAAGCATTTACCAAAAGGTAGCTGTGATAAGAACTTGTCCTGCTGAATAATCTCTAATTTCTCCCCCCCAACTGCTGAACTAAGGAAAAATTTCTTCATCTACCACTCTAGGCCTGTGCCGCAGGGTCCCAGCTGGGCTTCTCAGATTTATCTCCAAGGTTCTTCTACATCAGAAGTTCTCAAACTTCAGGGTGGGGAAGAAACACTTTGCTTAGTAAAATTCAGATTGCAGAGATGCAATGGTAAATATTTGATCAAGCAGATTCGAAGTGGGCCCCAAAATCTGTGTTTTAAACAGGCCCTCCAGGTTTGGGACCTTGTTTGGGGAAAGCATTTCACATGACTTGATGCTCCAGTCAAAAGGAACAGTTTTGTACTTTTCAAAAGTGTCTTAAGTTTTTCTGCTTTTCTGTTTAATGATGGTGGCGTAGTATAGGGTTGCAGGGAAGGGGGAAAAATGGGCTTTAAAAAGAACTGGATTTGAATCTTGTCCACACTATTATTTGCTGAACAATCTTGAGCAAGTGACTTAACCTCTCTGAGCCTCTTTTCTTTTCTATAAAATGAAGACAATAACACCTGCCTCATAGGGGCTATAGTGAAGATTAAATAACATAGTATACATATATTATCTTGTATACCTCAGAAACTATATTGGCCCCAGTAAGTTTTCTGAAAGTCTTCTAGATCTTGCTGAGCTGACATCCTACCCCACCTCCCAGTACCCTTATTTCCCTCTATAGCTATTTGAATTCTTGTTTTATGTCCCCCCCACCACTAGATTACAAGCTCTTTGAGTTCAGGAACCATAGAGTAGGAAATAAATATTCATTCAACCAAATTATGGATTAGTGGCACATGCTGGGGAAAATACCACATATTCTTGGGATACAAAAAGAAACAAGTAATTTATATATCATTTGACAATTTATGCCCTTGCCTTGCCTTCCACTTTTCATCACTGTTGATCTTAAGTATATAAGATCCTGTACATATGTTCCTGCAAATAGTGAAGAATCGACAAAAAGTCCTGCAGTATTGGAAACTGATACTAGCATTTTCACAAGTGAATACCTGAGGATGCTGATAGAAGTTGTTCTCCAGTATGTGAGAAGGTATTTAATTTTTTTAAAGGTATATTATGCAAAAAAGTAGTTTCTCTGGTCAAACAAATTTGAGAGAAGTTGTATTAAAAGTCTTGGCTCTGCAGGACTTATCAGAGCCTTTAGCATACTATTGTGTATGGGAATCTACAAGAGGAAGGTTGTGGTTCTTGATGTTTGCCAGGCTTCCAAGAGCCTCCCACGAGCTATGTTTTGGGAAATGTTCACTTATATAACACGTCTCCTTTCTACTTAAAGCAATGAGGATCTAATTGAGAAAGGAATAAGTGTCCCGGGCAGGGAAGGCCCAGGATGCAACATGCACATACCATTTGGTAGGTGTGGTTGATGTGGAGCTCTAAGCGGTAGAACAGGTCAGGGAAGATATCCTCCAGCATTTGTTGGTGGCCATCCTCCTTGTGGATAGGTATGGGGGTCGGATGAACAATCATCTGAATGGATCTCGTTTTAGGAATACAGGTCACATCAGGTGGTTTGATGGTGGCTGGAGAAAGGGAAAGAGAAAAGAGAAAAGTTCTGCAAGCAACTGGTGTATAAGTTTAAGGCTAGCAAAGGGATGACCAAGGGTGAATAGGGGAATCCAGGGTGAGGGACATCAGCTTCCAGGTTGGTCATGCCCTTGCCCCTGCCCGCACACATCTCAGCTCCTGCATCCCTCCTCGAGTCTGCCCTGAACATCCTTCCTCCCTAGTCTATTGGCTGTGACAGCTTCAGAGATGTCAGTGACCAATGAGTCAACTACATATCCTAAGTAATAGTTTGGGCCAGTAGGCATAGAGGAGGTGGCCTCATACTACTGATGGCCAGAATGCTATTAAAGGCCTAAGACTTCAGTCACTTTGAAGATGGAATTTACCAAAGAACCAAATGACCTTTACTGGTTTCCAGACCTCTTCGAGAATTTGATGGACACTATGGATCTTCCCTCTCCCAAAATGTACATATACAAAAATCTTGCATCCAATTTCAGGCCTTCGTGGACCCCACTCACTTTGTACTTAATTTTTAAAAATCCCTCAAGGATCTGTTGACCTCTGATATTTAAAATATCTTAGCCAGAACAACGGTCACTCCAGTGCTGCTTATAAAATTGAAAAATTGAGCTAAATGTCTTCCAAAAAGGAAATTAGGTAAGTTAATTAGAGCATTTCCACAGAATGGATCATTGTGACGTATCAAGTTGTGGAAAAATATTAATGACATGGGCAAATGTTCATGATAATCATGATATGTGTGTGTGTGGGGGGGGACTCAAAGCAAAAAAAAAAACAAAACAAAACACCAGATGATGAAATAGTAGCTACAACTGCCAATAACCACAGCTATGATTGGATGTTTGAGTTATTTAGGCTGACTGGGGAGGGTTACGTTTCTATATTTTTCAAAGTTTTCTTCAATGGATTTGGATTCATTGAGTAAGCCAGGGAGGGAAAACAAAATAATTTATTTAATTTTATCTTTAATTTTCTTAACAAACATAAAGTCAGTTGGTGAACATCAATTACCACATTCTTAGCTTGTAGGAGGAGTTGGACAACTGAAATCTCTTCATTCATTCATTTGTTCATCAATTACGCAACGAGCGTCTTCTATGGGCCAGGTGTCACGCCAAGGGCTAGGAATGTGCTCAATTCCACAGCCCACGCATGTCACCACAGAGCTTGCATTTAGAGGGAGAGGCAGATACAGGCGCAGGCAAACACAGTGATTGCAGATTGAGATCTGAGCTATGAAGACCAGGATCAGAGGATCGCAGTGGGTGGCCTGCTGAAATCAGGTAGTCAGGGCTGGGGCGGGGGATGCCTGATGAGGAGGTGGCATTGAAGCTAAGCCTTAAGGATTGAAAGAGCCAGTCGTAGAGGAGCTGAGAAGAGCCCCCAGACCCTGTGAGCAGTGAGGGCCCGAGGCGGGAAGTGTCAGCGGTGCAGGGGGAGAGATATACAAGATGAGGACTGGGAAGGCCTTTAGGCCACAGCAAAGAGTTGGCTCTTATTTTAGGAGTCATGAGAAGCTGCTGGAGGGTATTAAGGGAAACACAGGGGAAACATTAGGAGCCAGAAACGAGGGTGATGCAAACTAGGGTAGGTTGGGGTGGAGGTGGAGAAAAGTGAACAAACCCACTGGGGACAGCTTCTCTAAAGGCCTCATCCCCAACTTCTGCTTCCCCAAGAGCTTCCTTCTGAGCCCTCCCCCCCCAGAGGAGAAGAGTCCCCCTCTGTGTCCCAAACAACTCCCCTCCTCTGATGCCAGCAGGGGCTCCTACTCACTGTGCTGCTTTGACCCGAACCTGTCTGTCATCTTGGTGGCAGACCTGCCTCCCGGGCTGACAGCAGTGACCCTGGCATAGTAGTACTCTGTGGGGTTGCCCGTCTCCACCGTCAGGTTGCAGGACTTGCGGGTGATGTTCTGGCAGCCCTCCTTTGCCAGCCACTCGCTCTCTCCGTACCTGCAGGCGAGGGAGGGACGGGCCACCTCTGTGAGGAAGCGGGCCAGCGCTAGGCCTGCGGTTCCTTTTATTAATAATGACAAGGCGCTCTCCTGTTTACTTAGCATGGTCAGTGACACAGGTCCTTTAAGTGAAGGAGCTCACTGAGCTCTCACAAGGATCCTACCAGGTCTGAGCCTTAGTCTCTCTCTTTTGCAGATGAGGAGGCTCCAGAAGTGAAATGTACCCAGGGTGTGACGTGCACATGTGAGGAGCCAGGACTTGAACCCAGCCGGTCTGAGTCCACATTCTGGGCTCACTGTCACTGTGGCTCTTTGAGGCAGCCCGTGCCATCCTCCTTTTGTAGATGAGGGAATTAAGACTCCGAGACAGGAAAATGTCTTAAGACAGGGAATGGAAGCCGGCCCTGTGGACTCTGGAGCCTGTGCCGTGCCTGCTGCCTGCTCTCACCAATAATAATAAAATGATGATTGGTAATTTATCATTCATATTTTCCAGGCACATGTACTAATGACTTTCACCATCCTGTTTAATCTACCTAACAATAATAGGGTGAAGGTGCCATTCTCACTTATGGATGGAGAAACCGAGACGTGGAGAACTGAACCTTGGCTGCCCAAGGTTATACAGGTGAGAGCTCGTGTCAAGCTCAGGCACCCTGATCCCAGGCCTTTGGAGCAGAAGCAAAGAAAGGAGGTGGGCAGAGAGAGAGGGATGCCTACATCTTATACTCGACGCTGTAGACTGTGTCTGGCGTGCTGTCCGGCCCGCTGTCCCACGTCAGGATGTTTTCAAAGTTGCTGGACTGGAATTTCACGCGCTGAAGAAGATCCGAGGTGTCCTCTGGAATGTGAGCTGTAGGAGGGCAGGAGGAGGGTGAGCAGAGGGGGCTCAGAGACCTTGGCCCCAGGAGAAACTGAGACGTGGAGAACTGAACCTCTCCGTACAACTGAACCTACAAATGAGCCAGTGGGAGGGGACACAGTGGTGCTCCCGGTCATTTCTTTTTGTTGTATTGAATTAAATCACATTCCATAAACATTATCGTTTTCTTTTTTTTCTTTTTTTTTTTTTTTTTGAGACAGAGTCTCGCTTTGTGACTCTCAGTAGAGTGCTGCAGCATCACAGCTCACAGCAACCTCCAACTCTTAGGCTTAAGTGATACTCTTGCCTCAGCCTCCCAAGTGGCTGGGACTACAGCCACCCGCCACAATGCCTGCCTATTTGTTAGAGATGGGGTCTTGGTCTTGCTCAGACTGGTCCTGAACTCCTGAGCTCAAGCAATCCACACATCTCGGCCTCCCATGTGCTGGGATTACAGGCTTGAGCCACCGCACCCGGCCATCACCATTTTCAATTGCTCAGTGCCATGGTTTCTCAGTATATTCACAATGTTGAGCAGTCATCTTACTATCTAATTCCAGAACATTTTTACTGATCACCCCTAAAGGAAACTATGTCCCCATTAGCAGGGGACCCTTGTCCCAGCCTTTGGCAATGTACTTTCCATCTCTGGATTTGCTTGTTCTGGCCTTTCCACGTAGAGGCCTGGCTCCTTTCTCTGTGTGGCGTCTTTTGCTTAGCATGTTTTCAGCAAGGTTCATCCACATGGCAGCACCAATCAGTACTGACCTCCTTGCACGGCTTTCCCCCATTTTGTTTATCCGCTCATCAGTTGACAGGCACTTGGGCTCTTTCCACTTTTTGGCTGGTACGAATCATGTTACTGTGAACATTGTGTGTGATTTTTTTGAGAGCACATATATTTTCAGTTCTTTTGGGCATATATCTAGGAGTGGAATTGCTAGACCATCTGGCTACTCTATGTTAAACTTTTCGAAGAACTGTCAACTATTTTCCAAAGAGGCTAAGTGGCTGAACTACCTTAAATTCCCACCAGAAGTGTTTGCGGGGGTGGTGGTGGTGGTGGTGGTTCTGTTTCTTCATATCCTTGTCAACACTCGTTATTATCTGTCACTCACTTTTTAACACAGTCTGTAGTTGGTCAAACCTTACCCTGATTTTAGAGACATTTAACCATCAATAAAGTAAGAAGTAACTTTCCCAAAGGCAATCATCTCAGACAAGGGTGGAGGTCTTTGCAGATTTTGGCCAATGCTTACCCATCCACTTGGCTTCTTAAACGGCAAAGGCACCTCACCCCCACTTTGCAGGAGGGCAGGATGCTGAGTGAGGCCACACACAGGCAAGGTAACCTTAGAGACGCTGTTTCAGCAATTAGAACTTCAGTTTCCTCCTCTCTAAAATAGGAATAATTCGACTTGCCTAAAGGTGAACAGTAATAGCAGCAGTGACATTTGTGAAATGCACGGCCTCCTCCAGACAAAGCCCTTACTTTGCTAAATCATCCTGACAACCTGATGAGATAGCTACTATCATTCTCCCCATTTTAGGGATGAGAAAAACTGAGGCTGAGAGAGGGTTGTGCTAGTGTGACAGCATGTGCCAGAGCCAGACTGGTTCTGGGGCAGATATGATGGGGCAATGTTGGGAACCCTTTCCTTTCAGCACATAGTAAGTCCTCATGTATATGTGTGAGTCTGAGGAGGAGACTCAGAAAAGCAAGAGATTCCCCATGTGGGCAGGGGGCTATTCTGTTTATGAGCCCCTGGAAAAGGGACCGGTTTAAAGGGGTTGGGAGGAGACAGGAGGGGAGAAGCTGGCCCTTAGAGAGTCCACGAGCCTCTCCTCCAGTCTGGGCCTTGCCTGGAAAGGCAAAATGCTGCAAAGTTCTGAGCTCCACAAAGGGGCTGGGGTGGGGTGGGGTGGGGTTGCTGCCTCCGAAGAGCTCTTGACTTATAATAAAACTCTCACCTCAGCCCTCCAGCTTGGGCTGCAGAGAGAAAGGGGGTGCCAGAAAACAGTAGCACACACAGAGAGCCTGGTCGGCTGGGGTGGGAAAGAAACAGGCTGAGCTGGCGTGGCCTTGAGGCCTCACATGCACACAAGTCTTTGATATGAACCTGCCTCTCCTCCCCCAGACACTGCAGCAGCGGCCACCAGCAGGCCCAGGGGGTGAGGGAGTGGACTGCTCTTTATTCCTCCTCTCCAAGTCTACACGTAGTATTTCTGCAAGAGGGGTCCCTAGGCTTGGGAGGTACCTGTGGGGATGGGGAAAGGACAGTCCTCTCGGCTGCACATTCATGGGCTAAACCGAAGGTCACTCTCTTCTGAACCTGGATTGGTCTGGCCCCATAGCTGCCAAACTCTGCCGCAGGCTCCTGGAGTCCCCAGAATGGGGCCTTGGAGACAGCGTGGGGCTAGTCTACTGCTTCCACCCAGTGTGACGGCTGTGCCATTGAACCCCCATGGCACAAGCCCCAAGGGATATGAGTCTGGGTGGGATTGAGGTCAATTCTGGAGGGAGGGGTCTTGGACTCAGAACTGGGCCTAAATTTAAGGGAGGGAGTTCAGGTGAGGCCAGACCTGAATATTGGCTTCAGATGGGGTTGTGAAGGGCAGGCGAGAGAAAGGGTGGGACTGGGAGGTGGCCAAGGTTTGTCTGCAGGTGGGCTGGAGTTTGCAGTGGGAATGTCCGCTGGCTGGGGTCCCCATCCTGGGCGGGGGTGGGGAGGCCATCTGGGTTGTGGGGAGGCTGGTGGCTGAGGTGGGGGCACCCTGGGGAGGCACGGGGCCTGGGTAGGGTGGAGTTGGCCCCACTGTTCAAGAGAGAACGAAAGTGGGCTTCCTGAATTGGGGTGAGTGGACCTTGGCCTGCCCTTTTCTTTTAGGGGTTCCAAGGGCTAATGAACTCTCGCTTCTTCTCCTGCCTTCCTTGCTCCTTTTCCTCCCAAATCCTTTATCCGTTTCTCAGCCTGTGGCATTTCTGCACGTCCCAGGTGAAAGTCTACCTTACGAAATCCTGGGAGACACATGTTGTGCAGAGGTTGGCAGGCTGGTGGATTTATAAAAGGCAACTTGTTTTTTCACATTTGAGTTTAAAAACAATGTCATGTCAACCATCTGGAAAGTGAAGGAAAAACACACAAACAAAAACAACTCCAAGTGCTTAGGAACCAGCCTGAGATTGTTGGGCGTAAGGACCTGGGTCTGCAGAGTGGAGTTACCAAACACCAACACTCTGTTGAGGGCTCATCTTAAGGGGCCGGTAGCGTCTAGGATGTCAACCAGGATGGCTGGGCTCTAAAGGACACATTTTGGGGGTGCCTCAAGTCTCCCTGGCCCATCATGGACCCAGAGTACCGGGAATGTCCAGCCTGAGGCTGTGGGGCTCAGCCTAGAGGGGCCAGGGCAGTCTGGTGGCACCGGTAGCATGTCAGCCCTCGTGTGGGGACAGCAGTGAAGAGGCAGGGTGCTTGAGCAAGAAGGACCTTGTGAGGACATGCTCCCTCCCCTCCTTCAGCCAGGACCCCTCCTGAGAAAGTTCCCTGAACTTCATTCAACATCTCAAGACAGAAGACACAGTCTAGCATCTCTTGTAACATTCTCCATAGCGGTGAATTCAAAACTCCACTTTAGGCTCGGCGCCTGTGGCTCAAGTGGCTAAGGCGCCAGCCACATATGCCTAAGGTGGCAGGTTCGAATCCAGCCCGGGCCTGCCAAACAACAATGACGGCTGCAACCAAAAAAAAA